GGGAGTTACACCAGAGATAACTTTTACCTCTGATATCTTCCAAGAATGTTGGGTAGTGATAAATGTATCAATCATTTATATTATAATGGTATGAATAAGTGTATTCCTGTCTATATATGTATGAGTTCAATAAATGTTCTTGATATTAGCCTAATATAGCTACAGCGGTCTAGCTAGGAACTTGGATATTTGGGCCCTTTATTCTCCTTATATGGAAAAGCCATTGCCTACGTTGTATATGAGAGGATATTCTGCTGCCAGCTACATCCCCCATATAGAATTAGGAATATTCTAACAACATAAGCATCTTGAGCAAGTGTTTCTGCAGAATAGGGTCCTTAGCTGCTGTTATTTAGGGTCTGATTGTAATACCCTTATTTATATGGAGTAGCACTTCACTCCACAAGTAGTCCAGTAAGGCTAGTTATGAGGTAAGGTGTTAGTCAACACAAGTAAGGGTATCACAGTCTGGTCCTTAGCAAACTGTTATTTAGCCAGTGTTCTAGCAGGCATAAACATAATTCCGGTGAACAGAACTAAGAATATAGCAGCAGAACAAATTTAGAAGACAATAAAGGATTTAATTACATAATGGATGGGATTTTCAAAGGAGCCTAAGGGAGTTAGATACCAACCCTCGGTTCCTCTGAAAATTCTAGCCCTTGACTACTTTCTTGGGGTATAAAAGGAACTGAAGCAGTTGGATGTTAGCGTCTATGAAACAACACTGATGTATTTAGCCACATGAATCCCCCCCATAAGTCTGCCTGTACATACATTTCCTTGTTCAGGCTGTCATAGAGATTGTGCCTACTCCCAATGAAGCAACTGGAATTTTTGCCATTAATTTCAATGCAAACAAGATTGAACCTCTAATGTCCTTTTAATTTCCTTTTGCCAATTCATATAATACTTACAAAATATAACATCCCCTAAAACCAGTAATTTACAACAGAGTCAAAATATACCTCCCATAATATTATGTACAGATAAAACTACAGTATTATAGTATCACACCTGAATTTGCCTGAATTTACCAAAAAAGTAACTAACTTTAGAAGATATACTTCTCATCATTTAAAGTTCAAGCTATGCAAGATACTCAGCGAGAGACACTTGCCTATAAAATGAGACCCTAAGTTTTCATGGTAGTTCATAGGGAGTTAGTGTAACTGGGTAACTTTCACTGATAGTTGTACCACTACATCTCTGTGCATTGCTTTGAAAATGTAACCTATTATAAAATTCAACATCACATCCTTTGTGCCATCATGTTACTATATCAAAATAGAAGATTTTGTTATTTTATCACCATCTTGGGGTAGATAGCTTCCAGCATCTGGTGACTGGAGAGGATAGTTCTATTATTACCATCAGTCTCAATAATGTTCAAAAAACATCACGTCCTAGAAGGAAACATACATTAGAAAGATATCATTAGATGTGTTTAGAGATACACTGTAGGTCCTTTCCCTGGACAATTATATTATTTTAGCCATTGCCACATGTTGCTACTCCCAGTTTGATTGGCCATTGTTGGTATGTGTATTTGTAGTGATTGTGGTTATTACATAATGTTTGTATTGCTATCAGACACCATAAGTAAGTGGCAGTGGCATTCTGAACCCCCATGCAGGGCACAATTTTGCACGAGTTTGTGATTGCAACACAGGCTCGTGGAGATACTAAAGTGTTTGATCCTACATTCAGATACTTTACACCATGGAGGGCAATATACGTCCCAAGATTGGAAAGGTAGGACCAACACAGCATTTGAAACCTTTATTAAATGACTCTGAGTTCAGATTGTAAGATTTTTGGGGAAGGGACTCCCTTTTGTGATGTGTTTGTATAGTTCCTAGGACATTGGTGCCCCGATGTACGACTGGCATTACCACTATATAAATGAATAATAATGGGATATAATTATTAGGGTGAATACTCTGATGTAATAGAGTCATTTGCATTGCACTGACAACATAAACCAGCCCTGACACCAGCTTAACCAGGGACAATCTCCCCACTGTCAGAGCCAACACAGAGCTTCATATACCTCTCAATTTTGCTACTACCAGCACAACAGGGAAAGAGAAGAAAGGCTGGCACTCCCTGTGCTATACTGAAACTCATTGGGGTTTTGGTCCCTGTCACTCTTGCAGCCAGCATAAAGTGATGTAGTGGACCGGGCCAGGCAGGGCAAAGGTAAGCTTAAAGCCACTTTTGCATACACAACCCATGGCCCTCTACACAGCTTAGACATACTTCAGCATCGAGCTCTGGTGTTGTTGTGTGTGCGTGTGTGTGTGGTTTTTTTAACAGTTTAAACCCAAACAGAAATAGAAAAGTTAGGAATCATTAAAGGGTTATTTAAAAGGGACCAACACTGCTAAGGTAAAGAAACTGAAGTGTAAAGGCTGTAAAACAAGTCAATTATACTGGGATGACAGCTGGCAGAGCTCAATAAAGATGTAATTCAGGTTGAAATTGAAAAGAATAAACTGGAGTTTGACTTTCATTTAACATAAAACAAATATTTATGAATATGATGATAAAATTGTAAAATTATTTGCTTTGGCGGTGCATTCAACAGGTGCTTCTCCACTTTATTTTATGGGAGCAGTATCATCCACTTAGTTAAATAAAAAGGAAATAAATACCCTGTTAATTCAGAGAACAAGTGGAGGGAAAACATTACTGCATTCAGTAAACATTCTTTTCAATATTATCGATAATAGAAATCACAATCAAGAGAAATACATTCTTCTTTTAACTGCAGCATTTAACAAAAATGGATGAGCTACAGAAGAATATTATGAATAGTCCTACTAGTGAACATGTAATACCAGGCATGATTACAGAATGATCACGCTGCAAACCACCTCTTGTGGCTTGCCAAATAGCTAGTTAATTTTTAAAAATATATTTAAAAGAAAATTTGCCACACCGATACTGGCACTAAATCAGAGATACATTAATTTTATTTCCAGTTTGTTTTCCTCTTTCCCTCCTTCTCCTGAGATAAGCAAAATCATCATTTTTTCTAAAAGCAGGAGAAATCCAGCAGACCTAAATCCTGTTGCCCACTTCTGTTACTACTGAATAATGAATAAGAACAATTGTAAATAATATGAGCCAGGAACCTGGCTCTTGCCTCTATATTCTCTGTGGATGGAGAGTTACACTTGGAGGACAGCTAGTAATGCCTTGATGTAGAAAAAATTCCCAAGTGATGTAAAGCTGGTGTAGCATTCCTGGTTCCCTCACTCCTGGGAAGAAATGAACTGAGATGCAAGGCAGCGCACTCAGGCAATCCTCACACAGCAGAATGATCCCTAGGGGAATACTCCATATGGAGTGATTTAGAACAGTCCTTAGACTGCTAAAAATTATGAAGGGGAACATTTTGTCCTCCAGCTAACTCCAGAATTGAGATGGCTTAAAGCCACATTTTCCCCCAACCTCTGTGGGTTGGCTCGACCCAAGTATCTGGTCCTATGATTTAAGCATCAGAATATATATTACATTGGATAATATAGCAGGCATGCTTTATTGTGGCAACATCAACAGCAATGCTGAAAGAGTTTATTACACGTTTTTAATGTGACAATGTTTGAAGTGATGCTTGTGCAGCACCTTCACTCAAAGAGGAAAAGACACCGGGGCAAGTTAGGTGTAGCTACCTGTTGGCTGTGTTAATCAGTAATGATTGTATGGAATATTTTTGTAAGTATACACTCTGGCGCTCATGCAGGAGTTAAAACAAATGTACACTCATCAGATGTAAACATCTGCAAAACTACTTCAAACCTCTTTATCCTACTTCAAAATCTTTCTAGAAACTCTTATTTACCATGAAGCCTACAAAGAATGGCTAGATTGTGGATGTGCTGAAAACACAACCTATCATGCTGACAAGCACATTCTCATGGTTTCCTTGTACTCCCACCTCAGTCTGTCTGCATCTTTTGTGCCTTGTCTTATATGTAGATTGTCAGCTCTTTGGAGGCAGGGACTGTCTTTTTGTTTTGTGTTTGTATAGGACCCAGCACACTGCAGCCTGGTCCATGACTGGGACTCCAAGAGGCAAAGATAATACAAATAGTAAAAAATAATAATATGGGCACTATGCAGAGGAGTCCTTTGGCTCATCTGCCTTTTATTATTTCAGCAAAGTCATTGGCACATTTAAAAAGGTTGGATAACTAAACAAAAGGAATGTGGTTTGAGAAAAGTGAACAAGTAATTAGAATAGGCTTGTCACTAGTATCACATAGAAGGAGGCACTCACACAAAAATGCCACCCTTAGCATGTAATAAATATTTGGGACTGAGAAGCAAGTGTGTGCTACTCTGCCTACCAGTGTTCGGGAAGAGGAGTAATGATATTACCAGAGCAAAAAGAGAGAGAAATCATTCATTGTTCCTAAATATATGGAGTCAAGTATCAGGGGGTAGCCATGTTAGTCTGTATCTACAAAAACAACAAGCAGTCTGGTGGCACCTTAAAGACTAACAGATTTATTTGAGCATAAGCTTTCGTGGGT